CCGATGTGCCAAGCATTGCGGGCTCCTCTCTCATTATTTCACTCCTCCTCCTTTTCATCTCTCTGGTTCTCAGCGTAGGAGAACATTGCTTGGTCCCTTGATTTGCTCACTGGCCCCTCATATGTTTTTAAGTAGATAGATATAACACTACCCTAAGAATGGGTGATGCTTCTTGGAACTGAGTGCTCAGAAAAATTTTCAACGTCTATTGTTAGAATCATCTAAGCCGGGCGTTGGTGGCACACGCCTTTAATCCCAGCACTCCGGAGGCAGAGGCAGGTGGATCTCTGTGAGTTCGAGGCCAGCCTGGTCTACAGAGCGTGTGCCAGGACAGCCTCCAAAACTACACAGAGAAACCCTGTCTTGAAAAACCAAAAAAAAAAAAAAAAAAAAAAAAGAATCATCTATAGAATTGTCACACCTTTTTGTTTTGGTTTTGGTTTTTTGGTTTTTTCAAGACAGGGTTTCTCTGTATTGTTTGGAAGCTGTCCTGGAACTGGCTCTGTAGACCAGGCTGGCCTCAAACTCACAGAGATCTGCCTGCCTCTGCCTCCCAAGTGCACATTTTTGTTTTTTGAGGACTTTATTTTAAAGAAAAATTTTAGATTAAATTGGTAAGATCCTAAAGATAGTACATCGTTGATGGGCTTTATGAGTATTTATAGGCTCGGAAGTCAGTTTCAACTCTTTGAAAATGTCTTCAAAAGTCAGGGACACATTGGACAACAACAAAAATAAAACAAGTCAGCTGGGCCCATGGTGCACACCTTTAATCCCAGCACTTGGGAAGCAGAGACAGGTGGATCTCTGTGAGTTCAAGACCAGCCTGGGTCTACAGAGCAAGTGTCAGAACTGACTTCAAAGCTACAGAAAGAAACCCTATCTCAAAAAAAGAGAGAGAGAGAGATAAAAATAAAACAAGTCAGGGACACATTGAATGACATTTTTTTAAAAGCAGACTAAATTTTGAAAGGTCAGGAAATAGGCTGAAAGTACAAATATATATACATATCTAGGGATATATATATATATCCCTAGAATCGCTGCCCCTTGGGAATCTGTGTGACTGAAGCCTGAGAGATTGCTTCAGGACTCTTGGCTTCTCCTGCTCCCTTCACGCTCTGCCCTGTGGCCTGAGGACGTCACCACTGTTGGTTTCCCCCACAATTCTTCACTTGAGAATTAATGTAAGCACCGACATTGGAAACATGTTCAGCAGAAAGAATAAGTAAGGTTATTTTACAAAGCACAAAGAAATTGCTCATTCATTAATTCAGCCAACACCAAACGACCATCTGCTGACAACAAATACCGTGCCAGGCACAAAAATACAGTTGAGAGACAGAGCCATGCCTTGGAAGGAAAGAAAAATACCCATAACAGAGTTTCTAAGGGTATGTGTAGGAACTAGCCAAAAAGAAAAGAATTCTTTTCCATATGGAGGAGGGAGGGAAATTAGTTGGTATGTAAAAATAAATGAAAAGCAACCCTGTTATTTAAATTTTAAAAAACAGAAAAGAAAAGAAAGGATTCTAGAGGGACAGAGACCTCAGGAGAGTTAGGAAACAGCAGAAGGAGAGAAGTATGAGCCTTGACTGCAGGATGCATGGAGAAGAGAGGCAGACAGAGCGAGAAACGGGCCGTCCAAGGCAACCAAAGACAGCATCCCAGCACACCCTTAGGGATCTCATGACAAGTCTTCACTGGAGGGTCTCTAAAGTCATTGATATTTATTGCCACACAACCAAAATTTAAAATCTACAGTTCGGCAGTTTGGTTTCCATTTTAAGCTTGGTAAACTGCTATGAATCTTTGGACTTCTCCATGCAAGCAAAAATTTTGAACTTTTGAAAGAAACGTATATTTCCCAAACCAAAAGCTAGACCCTAGAGACTGAGCTAGGTCCAAGAAATGTACGTAAATAAAAGAACTGATACCCCAAATTGGAAGAAAAATACTGCTCTCACATTTGCAAGGCATGTCCATATTTAAATTCTGACTGACTCATATTTCCTAGACAGGCTCCTTAGCTGGACCTCCCAGGGGTATGCCTTTAGCCTGGAGGCCTTCGCAGGTCCTGAGCAATTGCTTAAGACGCATATCTCACCCTCCTTCTCAGCTGGGAAGATTCAAAGGGAAAATGTGTAGCATAAACAAAGCCTTAAATCTTATCCCAAGAATCTGATAATGGCACCACCAACAGGCCGTCTTGGGTCTCGGTCTCTTGCTTTTCAACAAACATACTTGAGATTTATTATAACACTCCATAGGTCATAAGCATCTTGAGTCACATCTTATAAAATATTTTTAGATATTTTTAAGGAAAGGTCATCGGCACTGCCGTCTCCTTCCTTTTATAGTTAAGTTTACCCTGGGATAAAAAAAATTTTTAATAACCTGGAATTTGCATTTGCATTTTCCATTTATGACCAAAACACAAAACCGTGAAGGTACCACAGCTGATGTCAGGGCTTTCTCTTACTGGTTTCTGCTGGGGCGGGGGAGGCTCTGCACAAGGCTGGGAGACAGCCACAGTCCCTGAGGTCTGTGTGGCAGCAGATGTGTCGCCTGCTTGACGATGACACTGCAGGTTAGGAAGGAAATTCTGTGACAGCACCCGGCGATCAAAGGGTATGCTCTTGAGAAATGATGTGTGGAAAAAGGCCCTGAACAGATTTCAAGAGGCTCCTGCCAGCACCTCCAACAGCTCCTACCCTGGTAACCACAGAACATTTGGCCATTTCAGAGCCTGCAGGGCCAATGTTTACCAAGCCCTGACATGCACAGGAGGAGCCAGGTGGCCCACCTGTCCCGATAAGGCGGTTCCTTGGAGTTAGGTTTCCAGTCTGCTACCAGATGGGTCCCATCAGAGCTTCCCCCATTCCGGAAAATAAGCACTCTGAAACAGCAGGAGTAAATATAATTGTATTTCATTTTTATTTAAAACAGCAATTTGGGAATTAAACACTGTCAACACAGATTTAAATAGAAGGAAATTTAAAGGAGCCGAACTCCACGCTAGACTCCATGCTAGAATCAGTTGCTCTCCACCTTCCAAGGTTTGAGTGTCTGGTGAAGAACGCCATGATTTGAGGAAGTCAGAAAGGACTTAGGCTAAAATCCCTCTAGGCAGGGTCACCTCTGAATAGCCTGGTTATCTAGTGGGGAACGCTATCTCCTCACTAAAAGCCCAGGGCCAGATTAATGGGAGCATTTGAAAATCTGATCGGTCTGGCTGGTGGGCAGCCAGGGAATGTGTTTTCTGTTTATCTCAATAGTGGCAGACATGTTCGTCACAGAAAGGCCTCGAGTGGCTTCAACAGCCCCGAAGTGGCGCTGAAGCAGTGTGAGCTTTTTGGTTGCCAACACCAGCTCCTAAAACAGGAAGAAGGCCCCACCCTAGGTTGACAGCCAGTGGCCGGGGTTGCTCACGAGGCAGAGCGCCCCGTGTTGCTCCAGAAGGGAGTTTTACCACCCCCTTGGCCTTATCTCACGGGAGCGCAGCTGGAGCCCAGCACCTCCTCCACTGCGCGGGCTTCAGTAAATCACCGAGGTCTTGACCCAAGAGATGAGAAGTCCTAAGTGATTTTTCAGTCTCCTATCTAAAGATGTGTTTACATTTCTTGAACTCTGGCTGACTGACTCATTCTCTGCTGTTGCAAGAACTTCCCTTATGTATTAGGCTTCATACGTTTCTTTTCTGAAAGACGTGGGGTTCCTTCCAAGCCACTGTGAAGTGAACCTCAATTCTGCTGGGTGGTTCGGTTCCGTCGAGGCTGGATCCCAGCCAGGCAGCTGGGATGTAAAGTGAGGCTAATGGGAGACAGTGCGGGGGTGGGGCGCAAGACACAGCTCCGGACACCTGGCTCTGGTTCCTAGTGCCCCTGTTTTCAGGTGTAGGCTTGAACCCACACTGTCCCATTCTCTGGGCCGCGGTTTCCCCGGTCTGATTTAAGCTAAAAACTGTTTTAAGTTTCTGCAGAAGCCATCCTCAAACAAATCAGGAAGAAGAAGAAAAAAAAAAACTGAGAAACCACAGAAAAAACAATGAGCCTATAAGAGACAGATCCCAGCACTCATGGGGCTGAGGCAGGGGGAGTTCTGTGAGTTCAAGGCCAGCCTGGTCTACAGAGTGAGTTCCGGAACTGACTCCAAAGCTACAGAAAAACCCTGTCTCAAAAAAAAAAAAAAGAAAGAAAGAAAAGAAAAGGAAGGGAGGGAGGGAGGGAGGAGGGAGGAAGAGAGGGAGGGACGGGGGAGGGAGGGAGGAGGGAGGGAGGGATTACCAGTAAACGCCGCCCAGTCTCATGTGGAGGGTACCAGCACAGCCCACAGCCACATGGCTTTTGCCTCTCTTTGCTGTACTGTCACCTGATATCCCCACATTGAGGGGCAGGGGAAATCTCTGATCTCTTCTTGGACGCTGTCATGAAACACTTTCCGATTTCAGTAAAGTGTGAGCATACAAAATCTATATTCGTCAGCATCAGCAGTTTTTTACATCAACATTTCCTTTTTATAATTTCAGTTTTTATCTGAATTCCACTAGCACAAAGAATCTACTTTTATCCTTTTTCTCTTCTTTTTCTTTTTCTTTTTTTTTTTTTGTTTGTTTTAGGACACAAGATTTCTCTGTATTGGTTTGGAGGTTGTCCTGAAACTTGCTCTGTAGACCAGGCTGGCCTCGAACTCATAGAGATCCGCCTGCCTCTGCCTCCCGAGTGCTGGGATTAAAGGCGTGCGCCACCACCGCCCCGCTTTTTGTTTTAAATACCAGTCAAAAGAAGAAAATCTAAATTTGAACATAAAAGCTATACCCCACTCAACAAGGAGCTTAGCCATGTCTACAGAGACTATGGGTCATAGCCAGTAATGCCATAGGTGTGCGCTTTAATCCTCAATACACGTGAGCTAAGTATGTATGGATATGGTTCATATGAAAGTTCTGAGACCTAGATCTGACGCCTTGACCCCCCCTTTCTCTCTGACTTTCACCGCAGCAAACACTGACTCCAGAACCAATCTTCATGGAAATCTTTGTGAAACCTCCTCACCTTTGACTCAAGCAACAGAGAATCAGGTACAGTGTTGACTCTGAATGAGCCCAACCCTGGGAGTCAAGACTTGCCCGGGGTTCTTGTCCTAACTTGCTATGTGACCCTAAGTTGAAACCCTTATCTCTTGGGGCCTCATTCAGCTCATCAGTAAAATGAGCCAGCAAACTGTTCCGTCACTGGGCTCCTTTACTCTCAGGCTTGGGATTTGGATTCCATTGTGTGGTTCTTTGTGTGTGTGAAGAAGCAGGGCAGACTCTTCCCAGACTCCTGCAAAGTCGGAAAGGGAAAAGGAGCACAACAGCAGCAACAGGCAGGGAGAGAAAACAGCGATGATGTTTGATGTTGCTTGTTGTTTTTAAAGCACCAAGGACAGGAGCCGGGGAGAGGGTGAAACACCTGCATGCAAGCATGAGGGCCTGAGTTCAGATCCCCAAGCCCCACATAAAGAGCCTGGCAGGCTAGCCGGGCGGTGGCGGCGTGCTCCTTTGATCCAGCACTCAGGAGGCAGAGGCAGGCGGATCTCTGTGAGTTTGAGACCAGCCTGGTCTACGAGACAGAGTTCCAGGACAGCCTCCAAAGTCACAGAGAAACCTTGTCTCAAAAAACCAACCCCCCCCTAAAAAAACAAACCCTGGCAGGCACAGTGGCTACATCTGCAGTTGCAGCACTATCTATGGGAGCTGAGGAGACAGACAGATCCCTGGAGCTCTCTGGGCAACCTGCCTAGCTGAATGCATGAGCTCCCAGTTCAGTGAGAGACCCTGTTTCAACAAATAACATGGAGAATAAAGAAAGAGCAGATTCAACCCTTGACCTCCATACACACACACACATACACATACACACACATGCACACATACCCATGAACATATACACACTCATTAGCACACACACACAAGCTAGGGTAATTATGAACAACGAAGGTGATTTGGGTGGCTTGGGACTATCTAAAGATTTGAGGAAATTTGTGCAGAAATATTGATAAGTATGTCTCTATCGGACACTCTGAGGGTGACACTCTCTTCAGAGTCTCTCAAGAGAAACAAGTGGGGAACTCCTAGAGCTGATTTCAGGGACTGGGAAACGTGAGGCCGACTCTGCCATCTGTGCTCCAGGGGACTCAGGCCCCTCCCTGTCTACAGCCTGAGGGCAAACTCTCCATCCCTCTCTTATCTCCAACTTCCTGCTGTTGCCACCGGCCTTTCCTCTCTCCCTAGCATTTGGTAACAGAGCAGGAGTGTTTGCAGCTGAGCCCTCATGGTTAGAACAGCGTCAGACTTGAGTCAGACCTCCATTGAAGTAAAGCACAGTTCGGCCACCTCTCCACTACTGGGAAACCACAGACACAACGTGTGTGTGTGTGTGTGTGTGTGTGTGTGTGTGTGTGTGTGTGTGTGTGTGTGTATGCACTTGCATGTGTTTATTTAATGCCTCCCTTGAAGGGGGCATCTGAAAACCTTAAGTAATAACAGGAGCAATATTACAGAGCTATGACTAAGAATATAAAATATATCTTGGCTCCAAAGGCCACCCAAATACCCCCAGTACTCCAGCATGGTCCAAAGGCATGCAGCCTCTGTCTGTGCTGGAGGAGGCTGCAAAGAGTGGCCTAGCCATGTCCAGTTAACAACTAGAATAAATGACAAATTTTGCAGTCAGACTGAATGTAGACCTTGGGTCTTAAGCTCCAACCCTGGTTCATCTGCAAGGCCTTGGCAAACTCACGAACTCTGAGAATCTCCTTTACAACACGGAGGAGGGGTTCTCTTCTGAGAACTTGGTTTGTTGGTGTCACCGTAGTCTTCCTTCCTTAAAAAGGAGTCCCGGAAGGAGAAGCCATATGGGGAAAAGTCTAGGGAGCCCCCCAGTCCCCAAACCAAGAAAAATGAGGTGCAGGGTGCAGAGGGACTTCCTCTTCCCTCCCTCACCCCTCCCCCTTACTTCTTGAGGCCAGCAAGCTGCCCTTTATTAGGTTAATAACTGCCTCGGATTTTAACTACTTCCTCAACCTACTCCACATAAATGACTAATTTTATGTTTACTATACAGCATCTGGGAAGGATTTAGAAACAAATTTCTACCCAGCAGACTTCGGTTTCCTACCTTGAAGGGTCACTGGCCCGAGCCGTGGCTTCCCTGCCTCCGGAAGGGCCTTTCTTTCTCTGTACACAAAACTGGCAATCAAGCCCGACTTTCTTTTCCATTAATGCTCACTGGCTCACCTCCTCCCCCCATCCTTCGGGGTCTGGCCATACCATAAGATCACTCACACAAAATACCTTCTTTTTAAGTCATACTGCTAGCTGAGAATCCCAAAGGTGAACCCTTTTAAAGGTGGAACCTTTTGGATACAACCGACCTATGAGAAGTCACAGGCCTGGACTAGGCAGCCAATTCCTGAGTACTAGAGAGACATGGCCTGGAGGTGCTGTCCAACGACGCCGAGTCCCCCGGGTCTGGAGGCTGCCTCGGGCGCCCCCTCCCGGCAGCATTGGAAACCTCGGCTCTGAGTCTGGAGCCGCTGCCTCGCTAGGGCCTGCGGAAACGGTGAGGGGACCCCAGCTGCCCGCACCATCTCCAGGAAGAGGCCCCGAGGTACCCCTTCCACACCTAGCCCGAGGTTCAGGGCCACAGCGCCAAGCGCATCAGTTAAACGAGCACCGCAGCTGCCATCGGCAACTTCCTTGGCGTTAGAGGAGAGGGTTAAGTCAGAGAAACAGGGGGAAGAAAACTACAAGGGGAGTGTGGAGATGAAAAGAGCAATGAAAAAAGAGAAAGACGTGCTTCAACTCCAAGCTCCCACTTCCCCTTTCAAATGAACGGCCTCCCCACTGCGAGCAGAATCAAGTATTTATGAAGGCATTTTTTGCATATTAATAGCTGCATAGGGATGGAGCCGCGCCAGCTCTGAAGTCCTAAAGGTATGGTGCCCCTTTTTAATATAGGTCTTTCCAGCTCCTCACAGGATTTGGGCTTCTCCTTCAGATTTATTTCCCCTTCTGCCCCGTGGCTCCTCCTGGGGTCCTACAACTGATTAAGAGAAATTGGTTCCCGGGTTGTCTCCGGAGACCGGGTAAGGCTCTTCCCTCCGTAGGTCGCGGACACCAATCCCGGGAGTGCTTTTCCTCTTCCCCAGGGCCTCTGTGGAGAGGCTTGAGGTTGGGTGAGGTGACCCGCACCTAAAAAGAATGTTAAAATTGTAAATGAAAGTCCCAGAAGGCAATACATCTGTGTAGTGAGAGAAAGTAAAACTAAAAAGAAAAAAAAATTAATAATTTTATTCAGTTTTAAAAGGAAAACACTGAGAATTAGAAACATAAGGAAAAGACATAATTCACATTAAAAAAATAGCAGCGGGCAAATATGTGAGCTACAACCCAGTGGGTAGTGCTTGCCTATCATAAGCTAGGCCCTGGGTCTAATCCTGAAGACTACACACACACACACACACACACACACACACACACACACACACAGCAGCGAGGAGCTGGAGATGCTGTTCTGCTGACGGAGGGCTAGCTTAGAATACACATAGCCCTGTGTCTGATCCTGGCATCACACAGAAGCAGGCACGGTGACACATACCTGCAACACCAGCACTTGGAAGGTAAGGCAAAAGGCTCAGAAGGTCAAGATCGTCTGTACATAGCAAGTTTGAGGCAGGCTGAGACAGGTGAATTTCCTAGAATCTGTGATTTAATACTGGGCCCTCCTGAGGTTGGAGCAGACACTGGTGAGGAGGAATCAGCCTGGGCATCGAAGAATGCTGTGCAGCCTCCCTGGTTCCCACTGACTAGATGCACTATCGTGACAATCAAAATGTTTCCACACATTGCTGAGTGGTCCCCGGGAGCAATTGAACCCAGCTTTTTCTCTTCCTCTCTTTTGTATTCCTCTTTTCTTTTTTGTTATTATTACTGTTTTTTTGAGACAAGGTCTTATTAGGTACCCCAGGCTGGCCATCTTCCTGCCTCGTGGAAATGATGGACATATCCTGCCATACCCACTGTCTTAGTTAGGGTTCCTGTTGCTGTAAAGAGACAATATCACCTTGGCAACTCTTATAAAGGTAAACATTTAATTGGGGTGGCTCATTTACAGTTCAGAGGTTTAGTCCATTGTTTATTATTTTGGGGCATGGTGGCATGCCGACAGACAGACATGGTCCTGGAGAAGTAACTGAGAGTCCTCCATCTTGCTGGCAACAGGAAGTGGTCTGTGACACTGGGAATAGCTTGAGCATAGGAGATCTCAAAGCCTACCCCACAGTGACACACTTCCTCCAACAAGACCACCCCTACTCCAACAAGGCCACACCTTCAAGTAGTGCCACTTCCTTTGGGGGCCATTTTATTTCAAACATCACTGAATATTTTGAAAGAACAAATTAAAATTGTAAGTAAATCATGATTGTATCTACGGTTGTTGCTTTTTCTGTTTTGTTCTTAGGTATCCATAAGGGAAAGACAGTACACGAAAAGCAGGGTAGCCAGGCTAGCTGGAAACTAGGGTGTGCTAGGTTCATACCTTACTTCATTTTCCTGGGATTGTTGTTCTTGTTGTCTTCCCTTCTTTTTTATTCTCTCTATGGATAAGGAAAGGCAGAAGATCCACCTGCCTTTGCCTCTAAAGTGCTGAGATTAGAGGCGTGCACCACTATGGCTAGCTAAATAAGTAGTTTCTAAAGTGTGCATTATATCCAACAGTAGCTAAAATGACTCAGCAGTTACAATGTACAGGAAGAGTTCATGCACAGCAAGCTAAGTAGCACCATAATTGTTTTGTTTTTGTTTTTTCGAGACAGGGTTTCTCTGTGGCTTTGGAGACTGTCCTGGATCTAGCTTTTTTGTAGACCAGGCTGGTCTCGAACTCACAGAGATCCGCCTGTCTCTGCCTCCTGAGTGCTGGGATTAAAAGCATGTGCCACCACTGCCCGGCTTGTTATTGTTTTTTAAGACAGGGTTTCTCTGTGCAACCCTGGCTATCCTGGAACTCCCTCTGTAGACCAGGCTGGCTTTGAACC